TGGTCCCCCCCCTGCCAGCGCCGCCGCAGGGCCGCAGCCGCCTCCGAAACCAATGCCGCGTTGTACGACGCCACGCGTTCCGGGCCCAGCGCGCGCAGCACCGCTAATGCCGCGGGCACCGCCAGCCACGCGGACAGGTCGGAGGTACCCTGCCACAGGAACTCACCCCGGAAGCCCTGAGCCGCCGCCACCATCATGATGCGGATGGGGTGGAGGAGGAGGGGACGGAGAGCAGCGGGAGTAGTAATCAACCAAAGTCAAAGCCAAACAAACCGCCGCTACAGACACCCGGAATACCAACTGCCGTACTGCAGCGAAAGGGTTGTTGGCGGAAGGCGGCTGCCAGGAGGCGGCTGCCATTGTTGGGTTCGGTTTGGACGAGGAGCGGTTGACACGGTGTTTTGCCCCTCCTGACGCGTGGGAGAGCTTTACTCGACCTCTCACTCTCAATCCAGACCTTCGCCCCCCCCCCCCGCTGCCCCGATCCCCCCCCCGGACGCGACCAACACGGGCCATACAGCTCCTCCTCGCCGCCTCCCTTCCCTCCCTTCCCCCCAACCCAACCACTACCACCACCCCATGCGATATTTCACCCCACCACGGGCGAACACCAGTGGTACGGCACCGGCTGTAGCACAAGGAGTAGCCAAAGCCAGCTGAGCAGCATCGTCCAGAGAGTCACAGTGCCACTTCAAACCCCCCATTGTGAATATCTTCATAGCCTCCCCCCCAATTCCTTCCCCTCTCCCCCCCCCCACCTCGCCGAGGCCCGCACCACCTCCATGCGCTTCCGAGGCCTTCGCGTACGGCAGATCCATCTCACCGTACAGCGCTCTCCACACAACCCTCCAAAACACCGGCCCGGTTTACCGATCTTCCTGTGCCCGTGTGCTCTGCTACTGCCGCATTCGCCGCCGCTTATAACATTGTCCCCATCACCCCCAGGCGCCCGCTTTCCGCCACTTCCTCCTTTGTGCTTCTTGATTGCGATGTCCAATGGGATCCGTCAAGTGGACCCGGGTTTAGGAACCCCTCCCAACCCGCCCTAAAACCCTAAAACCCTAAAACCCTGCTTTACCCTACCAGGCGATATCCATGTGACGTTACCAGCGGCCGCATGGCGTCTTGATGTTCCGGAACCACCCACAGCAGCGCGGCGGCCTTCGGACTGCACCCCCACTTGTGCAGGTTGGTGGTGTAGTAGTCCGCGCCCAGGGTGGGGACCTAGGGGCTCGAAACACATATACACACACACGCACACGCACACGCATGAGCACGCACGCGTGAGCACAGTGGCAGGCGGGTACGGCGGTTTTTACTTGTCGTACCAGTTCGTCGCGGCAGTCTTGGGGTGGGACGACAGCCACACCCCAACAGGTGGTGCAGATGATGATCCACTGATCCATTCCCCCCCTCCCTCGCTGCTCCAAAGCACTTCCGAATGTTCCGAAATTTTTATAATTTACATCCATACTTAAATCCGGCATTTTGAATTTTTATATTTTGAAATCTTCCTGGTTGGACTTACCGGAATATAAAATTCCAGCGTGAGCCTGATAATTTAGAAACACCAACTTTCCTCATATTTATATCGAAATTATTTAAGCAAAATTATTAATTTCAAAGTTTCAACCATCAAGAACCTTTTTCCCCCAGGTTTTTCCCCTTTACCTTAGTCACCCTCCAGCCCCCCTTCCTTACTTCCTTTCCTCTCATCAGCTTCACTTCATAAGATTTGCATTGCCTCACCCTTACCTGAAGGCTCGGCACGTTGCCGATCGCGTGAGCTCCGTCTACGAGGACGCGCGCGCCTACCTGCAGCAACCCGTTACGGCAAATCGTAAGTACGTTGTCGTACGGGAACGTACGCAAGTACCTAAACGTTGAGAGAGGAAAGAGCCGTTCACGGCAACCCACGAAACAGATTTGGAACAAGGAAGCAACAAACAACAAGCAGAGCCGGCGTTGAGCTAATACATGTTTATTCGTAGCCGCCGTAAGTGCCCCATAAGGCCCCCTCATTTACGAAAAAGAGGGACCTACCTTCTTGCACAACTTCACAAGCTCCGCAACTGGAAGTACGACAGGCGGAAAAGACACCACGTGATCCAGTACGGCAAGCCGTACACGCCGTCTGCCGCCCACGGCCCCTAAGGCGGCCTGCATGATATACGGAGGGCCAAAAAACGATCGATCCGTACATCATATGGCGATGATATGATGATGATGGTGATGACAACGCAGGGAAGGAAAGTGAACCCTCTGTGCGCCATGTCTGTACAATATGTACGACATATCCTCGTACGAACGTAAAGCACACACCTGTACGGCATCAACTACCAACTCAGGACGCAGCAGCTCCTCCAACCCTAGCTGCACCTGCGGAATACGGGATACGGGATGCGGAGTACGGAGTACGGGTACATGCCGTATTTCAATGCTCCTGGCGGCTAAGCACGTTGCCGATCGTTCTTTCCCTCCTCCCCTCCAATATAGGAGTATCGATGTCGCATGCAAGTGAGTCTCGTACGACGTGCAAAACCCTACGTGAACCTCCGCTTCGGAGTCCCCCCATAAACATTGGGGAGCTACAGCTCCCCCCCAACTCCCCCCTTCCCCCTTTCCACACCGCCCTCTGTGTAGCTGTGCTTCTCCCTCCCCCTCTCCCGCCCCCATCACCTCGCCTCCGCACACCCTGGCCCCCCCCCCCCACATCCCCCCCCGGGGGTACCTCCAAGATGCTCGCCCCGGCTGCAGCTGCAGCCCTGGCCAAGGAGCTTTTCACCTGCCGCCCAACGGCCAACGGAATTAACGGCAAACAACAACCATGAACGGCGAAACACAAGGGGGAAAGGGGGCAGAGGAGAAGCGAAAAATAACTTAACACCGGGACAGATTTAGGGATTTAGGCCGCGAGAGAAACGACGGATGCAAAACGCAAAAAACACACACAGCGCGGTGCGGTGCCGACCTCCTGTGTCACCACCCACCACCACCACCACTGCTAACTGACCCCCACGAATATCCAACTGCACTTCGAAGCCCCCCCCCACACACACACACCTTCCGGGTAATCCCCACCCTCCCCAAACCCCGCAACCATGTTCTCTCTAGCTAGCTAGCTAGCCCACAGCCCGCGGCATTGCCGTACTGCGGGGTACGTGGTGTTGAGCATGAGCACCCAGTCGCCCCGCCTGAGCTCCAGGGAGCCCAGCACAGCGTTGACCGCTGACGTGGCGTTGACCAGGGGCACCACGTCAGCAGGACACGCACCCACGAAGCGAGCCGCATCTGCCACAGCCCAAACTAAACCTGATTTAAGGTTAAGTAGGAACGGGGCAGAGCAGGCAGAGCATCAAGTCGTACAATGGTACGGCAAAACGCATAGCATCGGGAAGGTGAGAAGGGATTTATACGGATCGGCTGCTGCAGAAGCAGCACCGGCAGCGAGCAAAGCTGGGTTTTGGAGGGCGGTTGGGCATGTGAGCGTGATGGCGAGATGGCGAGCAGCCGAACGAGCGAGGACAAGCACGACGCATTCTTCACATTGCTCACACGTCCCTACTCATACCTACATACGTAGGCTCACGTCTTCTCTGCGGGACTGGGTTGCTTGGCGAGGGGCGAGGGTGGGAGCGGTGCAGTTCGAGGCAGGGTGAGAAGGTTCTGGAGGACCAACCGTTCCGGTTTAGTGACGGTAAGGGGGAGGCGCCGCGCGGACTACAATCCTCCCCCTGCGGTTTTCTGGAGGGTCTAGGAGCTGTGTGTCGTGGCAACGCTATCGCTTTTGTGGTTTCGCCGGTCTACCCCGGGCACCTGCAGTGGTGATCGGGCTTGTGCGTGGTCCCTTTTCTTTGGTTGGTTACTTCTCCCCTGGACCAGCCCAGGAAGGGAGAGGTAGAGGAGGACAGTTGTCGCGAGGTGGCTGAAAGACGTCTTGTGGTTCGAGCTCTCTTAGCCTTTCTCTCTTGGAGTTTTTTTCTTGCTGGCTTGTGTGGTGTATCAGGAGCCCTCCCCTGCCTGGGCTACCCTGGCTGTCTTTTCCTTTTTTCGGTTTTTTCTTCCCTTTGTCGTTGGTTGTGTTTTGGGGGGTTGTTCCAGAGAGCCTTTGCCTTTGCCCTAGCTGAGACTTGTGGCCTCGCTCTAGCGGGACCTGAGAGCCCTTCGTGGTGTTTTCACTGCAGCCCCATCCCCGGATGGAGGGGCTGCGGAGTGGCTGCGTAGTGTGTTGGCAGTCTGAGTCGGGGTCGGGAGCACACAAGACTAACCGACTTGCGCTGTGTGCTCCCGACCCTTGCGCTGTGTTTCGGCTTCGGCCCCCGGCTCTCGCGGCCCACAGTGTAATCTAAGTCATACATGCATACACACATACACACGCGTCCCTACCCTTCATTGCCACTATCTCCATGAACCTGACGGGTTGGGCCTCCAGCTGCTGCCGGTACCAGGACTGGACCTCAAGTGCCAGTCTGAGGGGGTGGGGGGTGGGAGGTCGTCACACGACAACGACGACGACGATGATGCTGGTGACGATGATGATGCTGGTGGTAATGATGATGATGATGATGGTGATGATGATGGTGATGATGGTGAGGCAAGGGCACCAAGGGGGGGTCAACTGCCGGCACGTCCAGGGGGTGAGGGGTGGGGGGTGGGGCACAGGAGCAGGGTCAGGAAGGCCTGCATCCAGGTAGCCGCATCCATGCGAGCTATTCGGAGTCGTACAGTTGAGAGCCCAACTCCAGGTGAGGAGAGAGAGCCGGATATCGGGGGAATCTCAACAGCAGCAGCAGCAGCAGCAGCAGCAGCGGGAAGGAAAAGGGGGAAAGACGAACCACACACGATTGAAGCTGCTGCCAGGGCAGGAGTGTATGAAACGTAGAACTGACCGAAAGGCGTCCGTGAAGGAAAGGGGGGAAGGGGTGACAGAGAGGAGGTCTGTTTCGTGACCTTCGGGTGGGGCCTATGTGACGGTCCTCCGTCCCCTTCCCCCTCACCATCCTCAGAAACTTGGAGGGCGCATGGATCATGTACGAAATAGAGGCTGCAGATAGGGTCTGGGTCAAAGGAAGTAATGGCGCACTGCGGGCCTTCATCACAATGCTAAGTACGACTGTACGACAGGAAGTACTGTACGGCAGTACGGTATGTTTACCTGAAAGCTGCACCGTAGCTGCCGTGATTGAGATACGTGACACCGGGCTCCAGTACAAACAGCTGCTGACGAGCTGCTCGTCCAAAAGGCACTGCTGCGGGGTTGTTAAAATAACTAGTAGTACTGCTGCTACTGCTGCTGCTGGCACCGCGAATGCCTTCGCCGCCATCGCGGCCACCTTCTGCGCCCATACCGCCGCCAGTTTTACTGCTACTGCTGTTACTAGCGAGCTGTTGTTCCTGTGGTTGTAGTGGTTGTAGTGGTTGTAGTGGTTGTAGTTGTTGTAGTGGTTCTTGTAGTTGTAGTGGTTGTAGTTGTTCTTGATGCGGATGGGTTTGTTCGTGGAGCTGCCATGGCCGGGCTGTTCCGGCTACTTGAGCCTGAGTGTGGTGTTGGAGTGTCGGAGTGTTGGGAGTGTGCATGGTGTCGATATGTATGTGTGTCAGTCAGTTAGTGTGTTCATGTCCTTGTCCGTGTGTGTGCTGGGGGGGGGACAAGGGGGTTGGGAGAAAAGGAAAAACCGGCGGCACGTCGGAAGACCTTTTTTTAAAGTCCTCTCCAGGCACACACATACACACACGCACATACAGACATACAGATATACGGACACACAGGCATCGCAGCACCTCGAAAATGCAATGCTCCACATTTTCACATTCGCACTTACACCGAAACAGCTGACATTTGCACACACACACACAAACACACAAGCAGACAAGCAGACAAACACGCACACGAATCAACAACTAACTAACCAACCAACTCTCACACAGAGACACACACACCGGACAGACACCCAGAGTCCCGGACACGCCGGCACGAACCTGAAACCGAATCAAAATGGGACATTGCCAAGACAGATCTGTGGCCAGATCCGCTGGATCCAGGGATACGGCCTCCTGGAGCCATCTGCAAAAAGTACGGCAGTACGACAAGTGTACGGCCTGTCAATATGCGGCACGGCCACAAGCGGATGGAGCGAAACCCTTTCCCCCAGCCCGGGAAATCAGAGAACTGACCACTAAACCGCTTTGTGGAGCTCGATGGGTGGGGTGGAGTTGTAAGGGCCTTATGGGCCTTACCGCGGATTGCTGGGCTTGTAATCCAACGTGAGGTTGTGGTAGACCTTATATCTCGGCGCGGGCTTGTGCTGCGGGGTTTGAGCTGCGTACGGCAAGGTACAGCAAAGCCAGTAGTGCCCATGGGAGAGCCAAGCCAGGATTTAGAAAACAGGGAGAAGGGAAGGGGGGATGAGGTGGAAGGGGAAGATAGGGGGAAGAAAAAATGTATAGGCGAGTGGGGGAGTCGATGAGACCCAGGAGACGGTATTGAGGAGGACTGCAAGATGTCGAGGTGATGGAGGCGTGTGAGGCTGCATGGGCGAGGCCCGGATTTGGGTCGCATAGGTGGTTGGGAGCATGGTTTTGAGCGTGGGCGTGGGGTGGGGGATGGAAAGCGTGGATGACGGTTCATGAGGCTAAAGGCCTTGAAGGGGCAGCCTAAATACGGAAAAACCGCAGGGCCGCGCTCACCTGCTGTCGGGGGTGGGCGACGCTCATCACGCTCAGCGGCGTTGGAAAGCTGTCGGAGCAAGCGTCGACGGCCAGCGCGAAAGACGCGTGTCACACCCCACACAGCGAGCACGTAGATCGCTTTGAGGCCAAAGTGGCGCGCGATGTCGCCGAGGCCTCCCATGGCCTGCGCACGCTGGATGTTCGCAGCTAGCTACGAAAGCTTGATTTCCAGGGCAAGTGCGAGACATAGAACCCTAAAATATTGAAGGAATCTTACAACGGTCACTTTGAATACGGCTTTGCAGTAAAGGTGGTTTGCAGACCAACGACTAAGGCAGAAGATAACCCTAAGCGAGCCCAATTGTATACGCGATCATATCTTTGTTGAAAATGTAATCTTGGAAGTACAGCCCTGGTAATTTCACGAACGATGACGTGCTTTAGGTTCATGATGCGAGCATGGCACGAATGACAACCGTCAAGCTGCTAGCTGCGTTACAGCCGGACATCGTGCGCGCAAATCAGAAGGTTGTCATAGCAATTCTTCATAATGCCAGGTCTTCCGTGCTGTGTGCTTGTCCACTTACTTCCGTAAACCGGTAATCACCCTCAGGATGACGCATACGTTGAGCATTACGTCGAAGCTACTCGTGAGGTCATCAGACGGCTCGCGGGCCCCTTCCGTGCGTTGCAATATGCCAGGTAATGACACCCTCTCCAATCATGTTCACATAGCCAGCGCCGCTAAGCAACGACTAGCCTGTCTCTCGCCCTTGTAAATCCGAAAGTTCAACCTCAGAACCGCCTTTCCCCTGCCGCCCCGCGCCAGGGAATCCAAACTCCTCGCCCTGCTGCTCTACCATGGTCTCACGACGGGCCTCGGTCACTCCACCCTGGGGGAGGAGTACTGCGGCATACTGCAGGTGGCAGGTGAACACCGTCCAGCGCAGCCCAGGAGTAACGAACGGTCTCCCCATTAGTCCTCCTCCTGTCCGCCCCGCTTTTCACACACGGACTTTGGACACCGGCAGTTCACATCCCCCTCCACACACGCCAAAAGCACCAGGTAGCCTGCCCCTGACAGCCCAGGGTAGTCCCCTCCACCTGCTGGAGCTACAGCCGCTAACACTGCCCCGTCCGGTCCCCCTAACTCCCTAGACGCCAGGTCCCCCCTGGACTGCTACTGCCTAGCGCCCTGCTACCCCCCTGTAGCCGCCCCGCCCCAGGGCCGCAATATTGCATGCCAGCATTACACCTCATGTTACCCCCGGGGAGCCAGGGAAGGACGTCAGACGGGAGGGGGAGCCAGGGAAGGACGTCAGACGGGAGGGGGAGCCAGGGAAGGACGTCAGACGGGAGGGGGAGCCAGGGAAGGACGTCAGACAGGAGGGGGAGCCAGGGAAGGACGTCAGACGGGAGGGGGAGCCAGGGAAGGACGTCAGACGGGAGGGGGAGCCAGGGAAGGACGTCAGACAGGAGGGGGAGCCAGGGAAGGACGTCAGACAGGAGGGGGAGCCAGGGAAGGACGTCAGACAGGAGGGGGAGCCAGGGAAGGACGTCAGACGGGAGGGGGAGCCAGGGAAGGACGTCAGACGGGAGGGGGAGCCAGGGAAGGACGTCAGACGGGAGGCTTTCCGATCCGGGCACCAGGTTGTGTTCTTGTAAGGGCTCTGAAGGCTCTTACGAGAGGATACGGCGTGTCGTGTTTCATAAGCCGTCATGTACCGCTTTCGTAACCCACTCACCCACCCATCCACCTTTCCCTGTGGCCCTTGCTCATGCTCATGCTCATGCGGGAGATAATGAAGGCGGTAGTGGCCACATGCCAGGTCCTCGCCGCCGGTTGTTACTGGCGCTGCTGCTCAGCGTGGGGCCTTACGTGGCCGATCGGCTGGCGGGACGGCTGGACAGCGCCGCGGAGGAGGAGGAGGGCACGGCGGCGGAAGGTGCAGCCGCCGCCGCCGCCGCCGTGAGTGCCGCGACAGACGCGACGGGGGGATCATATCCGGATGAGGACGCTGCGGCGGCAGCAGCGGAGGATTTGCGCCAGGTTTCGGGGCGGGAAGCCGGCAGGGGGCCTGGCTCAGTGGCGATAACAACAGCATCCGCAGCATCCGCAGCGGCGGCGGCGACCCGTCTAGGAGTGGGTGCTAGATCTGGTGACGGAGGAGGGGGAGGCGGAGGAGGAGAAGGAGGAGCACCAAGCGGACGGGGATGGTTGCGGGTGTTTTTGGCGGCTGTGGTGGCACGATGGTCTCGGAGCTGGCGGCGGCTGGTACTGTCCTGGCCGCAATTAAGGCGGGTTCTGGGCTCGTGGGTGATGTGGGTCACCGTCGTGTTGATCCGAAATGCGAAAGTACGAAAGTGAGCTCTTATAACCCGGGCTCGTCTCGCATTAGTGTCGCGCCCTCGCATTAGTGTTGAGGGGTCAAATCGAGGCCAAGTCGGTAAAGCTATCCATACTCAATCATCAATACGCAAAGCCTTCCCAACGCAATTACCCCGATGGGTTCTCTTGAAGTCCTAAAGTCCATTATTTGGGACGTCCTACCAACAAACCCTAAAACCGGCCACAGCCTGCATGCAACACCCTTGCAGCCTGCACCCCTTTCCTTACCCTCCCGCTCGCCGTCCAACAGCCCTCTGACATCTTCTGGGCAATCCCCCTTGCCGTACACCGTTCTAACCCCACGCCATCACAACCTTTCCCTGGGACCGCAGGCCCCTGCTCTCCTACTCGGGGCGCCTGCACCTGGCCCTGTTTTACACGTACGGCGCCTACTACAGCTTGGCGCACCGGCTGGCGGGAGTGCGCTACAGCCTGTCCATGCGGCCACTGCAGGGGTGGGTCCTTCAGGGGTTTGATTGAGGGGTTTGGGCGGTGAGAGGTTTAAACCAAAACGTGGTTCTAACCCTAAATTAGTACGCAACGATTTGTTTGGTTTTTTTTGTGATTTTTTTCGATTTTTTCTCGATTTTCTGATGGAGCATTTGCAAACATGGCGAGGGGGGTGGATAATCCTGTCGCGCACCTGCTGCAGGCGGCCCTCCTACAGCGTCCTCGGTGTGCTGCTGGGGCTGCAGCTGGCGGTAGTGGCGGCGCTGCAAGCCAGGAACGCCCTGCGCAATATGCGCCGTCGAAGCACGGCCGCCGTCGCGGCGGCGGCCGCTGCCACCAAACGCCGTACAGCGCGGCGGCGGCAGCGGCCAGGGGCCCAGGGGCCTGGGCGGCTGTCTGGCGACGGCGCTGGGGACGAAGAGGGTGAGGAGCATTTGTACTCCGCGGAGGGTGAGCCCGCAGTCTTCCTTGAGGATGAGGATGGCGAGGAGGAAGAGGATGGAGAGAGTGACGAGGCGTATCAAGAGGAGGCGGAGGCGGAGGAGGGAATGGAACGCGACGGCCCAACTGGCAGCGGGCAGCAGCCGGCGGGTGACAGCGGTGTGGATACCGGGAGGCGTGGAGGAGAAGAGGCCAGGAGAAGAGGACTGGGCGACTGGAGCAGCGGCAGCAGCGCCGGTGGTGTAGCGGTGGTAATGGAGGGCTGGGAGGGGGTTGAGCGACAGGATGACGGCGGTGAATCGGGTTGGGAGGCGGACATCTTCGGCGTCGCGTCGATGTCAACTTCGGTACAGCGGCAGGGACCGTCCGTTGCCATTACTGCTGCTAAGGCTACTGCTGCTAAGGCTACTGCTGCTAAGGCTACTGCTGCACGAGCGTTCAATTCCGCGGTGGTGTCGTCCAAAGGGCCGTCGAAGGTCTCCGGTGCGGATGGCGGTCGGGAAGGCAGTAGCCAATGCCGCCACCACCGCCAGCATGGCGGCGGCGGCGGCGGCGCTGTGTTGCCGGTGCTGACTTCGCTGCGTCAGTGTCCTCTGTGTCTGTCTCCCAAGAGCCGGCCGACCAGCACGCCGTGTGGTCACACGTTTTGCTGGGCCTGCATCACTACCTGGTGAGGGCTAGGGAGGGAGGGAGGGAGACAGAGGGAGGGAGGGAGGGAGAGAGGGAGACAGAGGGAGAGAGGGAGGGAGAGGAGGAGTAAGGGACGGGGTGTGCTGTACGCGTGTGTCTACGTGCATGTGGTTGCGGGTTACGTTGAGCTCCGAAGGCATCAGCCATCCGGGGCTACCTGGCAGCGACATGGCGGTTGGGAGGACCGGCTACCCACCCTGCCTGCCTGCCTGACTGACTGACGGACTGACGGACTGACTGACTGACTGTCGCTTCCGTGCTGGTAATATATCGTGCATGCTGATGTTTCACCACGTGTGCACTTTTGTGTGCGTGTGTGTGTATGTGTGTGTGCCGCCCTCGCCAGTTTCTGCCTGTTGCGGCTCCGACGAAAACCTGTAAAGATGTACATCGTGATGGCAGTGGGATATGCCGTAGTGAGAACAGCTTTCAATCCAATGTCGTGTTTTAGGTTGGATCTTGAGTTTTGAATTTTAAAGATGTCTAATTGACGAATCCTCCCGCTGGTCCTTGGATCCTCCCGATGCTTGTGACGCTCTCTGTGCAGGTGTGTGGAGAAGCCCGAGTGCCCGTTGTGCCGTACGGCCGTACGGCTGCCTCAGCTGGTAGCGCTGTACCACACGAACTGCTGAAGCAACGTCGCAGAGCCATTCGATAACCATCTCTGCTGACATCATTCATATGTACTTTAGTAGATGTGTAGAGTAGAAATTATGTGAGTAAGAGTGTGTTTAAAAGTGTGTGAGATGGAATGCAAGGACAAGGAGTGACGATACCTGTCGATCAAAGTGATTTTCATGGAAACAAAACCGCCAAAATGGAAAAACTGCCATCACTGCTCAGAATTTTCCCTGCCTGAATTCCCCTCACACACACATGTTATTCGGTGTACAATTTACGAACACCTTTCCCAAGCCACTGGCCGCGCTCAAGTAATAGCAGCAGCAGCTGCGCATGCGCATTTGCATGCAAGGGTTTATTTCGCAACCAACCAGCTAATAATGACGCAGTATTTGTAAAAAGTGTCAATTTGCTTTCATGCGACAACGTTGCAATATGTACAAGACATGTATGTGTGCGTATGCGTGTGTGTGTGTTACATGGTTGGGGGTGCGTGTAAAACTACCCATACGAGCCGAAGGCCGAAGGGCAATATCTATACGCCTAAAAGCCACGGAGAACAGAAAACACCTCACATCAGCCCAGACTAGCGCCCAAAGGGGATAACTGAGTTGCGATGAGCCCACATACGTTCCAACATCCAGGCCAGACGTACTGGTTCCCATTTCATGGCCTCCAACATGCTCTGTCGATAATCTAATCCCTCTTCCGCACGCTGGGCATTCCAATAACACGTGTTTTTCATCCTCGTTTTGGCTATTAGTACCACAATAGCGGCAAAACCGCTGCTCCCTGGGGACATGGTACTTGCCCTTCGTGCTCTGTTTGCCTCCAAAGCCTAGCACGAAACTGCATTAGCTTACGATGTGCTAAACGAGGAATGAAAACCTTAGCATGTGTTGGCCACATGACGGCTGCGGCTCCCGAAAAGAGCAGCCCCATCCAGTGCTTATACTTCGCCATTTGCGCTCCCGGTTGCTTCCCATCTGATGGGTACTCCTCTGGCAAGACAGTCAGACGCGCATGGTCCCAGCTGCTCATTAAACGCTTCCTTAGTGCCGTTATCACCGCTCCTTCGGGTAGAGGTCTACTCAACAACCAGTCAACATGCTCCTTTACCCCCATGACTTCTTGCGATATTCCGCTCCAACTATTGTACTCCAAGACGGAAAACAGTCGTAACATTGAGGTTCCCCAATCCTCCCATTCCGGGTTGGTCAGAGCATCGGTTATCTCTTGCCGTAAAACTGCATGGGCAATGGACCCCACTTGCTTATTCCAGAAACGGAGGATCTGTTTCACCATGTAATACTGTAAGGGGAGTTCAGCCAGCTCCGCATTCAACAACGGAAGGTGGCTGGCAGAGGTTAAGGTCTGACTTCTGCTCCCGGAGTGTCCGGGTTAAAATCCGCCTGCCGACCCCTCGGCTGTTTGAGAGGTGGTGAAATGGGAGGTGGCCCCCCATCGTGTGGACGGTGTGGGACGTGATTATATCAACTTGCGAGCTGACCAGGAACTGAGTTGAGGCGCCGTTGATCCGCTAGATTTGGTTGGATGCTGGTGGTGAGTTGCCGAACCCAAAGAATACATTCTGAAGTCGGATGGGGTGAATGGATTAGGGTGCCCCTCTAGCAGGGGAGAGCAGGGAATTGTCTCGGGAAGGAGGCCACTGGTGAAGCATAACCACTCTGTAACAACATCGACAACAACCGGTGGGATGGCCATGCCGCCCCCACTACCTGCATCATAAATATAAATCTGCAGCTGGACTGCGCTATCCTTCAAACAAGCTTCGAACATGCCCTCCGCAAGGTTGGCTTTATCCCGCCGCCTTCCCGCCCTGTCCACGACCTCTGCCAGCGCGAAAGGGCCCCACGCCTGGCAGCCATACAACAGAATTGCTCGGACTTGGGTTGCAAAGCACCGCATTCGCACGCCGGGGCAAACAGCTTCATTTTGTCCAGCTTTGCGCTTAAGGAAAACATAGCGGACCGACCTGTATCACATAACTGCTGACGGCACGCACTACAAGGCCGTTCTGGCTCGTATACCAAGCCCAGATAGCGAGGGCTATCTTTGGCAGGTATTACCTGGCCTGATAGCCGTAACTGTGTTTACATCTCTCGCTAAGTTCCGACTGCTGGGTGCCATCACAGCGAAAACAAGCCTTTCACACTTTGAGACATTTGGTCGCATCCCAAAGGTTTCGCAAAACAAGTCAACAAGATGTAGCAACTCAGACATTCGCTCTAGTGACGTCGCTAGCAGACTAACATCGTCTGCGTACAACAGTATGGAGACGCGCTTGCTGTCCACAAGGGGTGTGTCATGCTTACGTACTCTAGCTTCTACAAGGTCATGATCGCCCAAGCCACCCAGCCCGCTGCCTCCATCTCTGCTTCCTCCGAGCCCCTCGCCACCTAGCCCACTGCCACCCAGCCCTCGCCCGCCGTCTCCGTTGCCACCATCGCCCAGGCCACCCAGTCCGCTGCCACCCAGCCCTTCTCCACCAAGCCCTCGCCCTCCCAGCCCCCGCCTCCACCGCCGCCGCCATAACCACCGCCGCCTCCGCTCGCTCCCTTCACGCCTGTGAAGATTCGGTCGCCGTTTCCATTCTGCGCGTAAGTCATGTTGCCTTCGTGCTTTTACATGTCGCCTTACGGCCACTGAGATAAATACAGCTTTTGAAACCTACTGCCTACCTGTCTCTAGTAGCCGTGGCTCGTTTTGCTCGACGGCCCCGCCCAGCACCATGAATTTATGTTTGTTTCACAATGGCTGGGATAGCCTTCAACGTCCATTGGTTGCTGACAGGTCTATAGCCGTCCTTTGCAGAATAGATTGTTTACGTCCGCTGCTTATCTAGGAGCGCTCATTTCATGTCGATTGTGGCTCCAGTGCAGAAGACGTCTTCCCCTCATTGCCACGACCCACCCACTACCCACGCAGCTGCAACCGCACCCTGCCTGGCCTGGTCCCTTTCAACTTCGACAAGACACCGTCGCTCAGCCTGAACGGCGACAACCGCCGGTACTGCCTGACGCTCCGTACAGTGCCGTGCGCGGACCCTAGCAGCCCCTGTTGTGGCCAGGCGCTCTCCAAAGTGGAGTGGTGGTCCAGGGAGAGCTGTCGCGGGTCCGTACGGGCCGTGTACCTGGACGGGATCAAGATCGACTCGCAGTGGGGCGTCAATGGGACGTTCAAGATCCCCCAGCTGAACATGGCCCCCAGCTCGGTTCCCCTCCAGGGCCGGCAAGTGTGTCTGGAGCTCTTGTCGACGTCCACATGCCCCACCCTGGCTACCTTCTGTGCCAAGGGAGGCCTGGGTGCCTGCACGTATTCCATGTTTTCGGAGGACAAGGATTGCTGCCCGATCGGCACATTCGTAACGCTTGGCAGGCGCTGATAGACGGAGAGTTACTCGGTTTACTTATTTCGCTGGGTGTCTCGTGCTAGGGTCGGTGGGGAGCAAGGACTGCTGAAATATGCAGTTACTTGAAGTAGCTAGCAGTGCGAACGACCCTCCATCCACCTCTGTCTAGCTGTATTCTTTTGACGCCGTGATCAGGGCGCAGGGGTTACGAATGCTGTGTATCAGGGGTACATAAGATTGTAGGCTAAATGAACTACGTCGGTGAACTCAACAGGGGCATTCAATGCCGTGGTGTTGATCAAGTCGTCATAACTATATAATATAGGCTTAAAGTGTTAAGTACTGATGTTGAAATGTAGACAGGGCCTATTTGGGAGCCCAGACGGATACGGTTTCTAGAGCGATAATAATTTTCGCGTGATGATTGGATCAGATTGGATTTCCGTTGTTATGTGCTCTCGGACTGCAGTTTTGTTGTCTGCCGTTGCGATTGAGCAAGGATACAAAATAATTTAAATCGTGTTTTCCATCGACTCGATCGTCTCGGAGACGCTTCCAACAATTTTTTATTATTTTCATTTTACAACTTACAACCGATACCATTAGCCATAGTGCCTTGCTTTTTTAAGTTAGTCCCTTGCAACGTTACATCTCTTTCCTTTTATTATGTACAGGTGCACCATGAACAGCTTTCATTCCTTTTTGCTTAACCTTGATAAGGCCTCCTTCAGCTGCTAGCTTCTTAAACTCCAAATTCGGAAAGGTTTCACTTGATTGTTGAATCCAAGCTTACCGTGCTGATCGACTGGTTCAATGGTGGTGTCCTGTTCAGGGGCTATTGGCAGAGCAAACGGCAACAAAATGCTGGCGACCACTTGCAAATGTAGGTGCAAGCTGGTGCCAGGTACACACACACACCGGCACAACCATGATGTACAACTATTTTTTCGAGTACCGGTGCAAGTCCAAAGAACAAGCTCGCCTAGATATTTACTATCTGCACAAGTGAGTAGTTGTTAGTCTAGTGCCTGCATGCACGTTCCCTCTCTTATGCAGCGGGCAACACATCACATCATGCGTTTCATTGCATGGTTCATAATTGACACGCCCTAGCTATTTATAGGCGAAATGCCTACACTTCATCTCTGCTGATGCACGGATTGACGTCCAGGTCATATAGATCTTATATATGTCGAACATATTCTGGCCAACTACACTACATCTGCAGACTGTAAACAGGGTTCTTCACCAGGGTACCCAAAAATTTCGGCCGTATCCGAAATCCTCTGAATAACCTTTCGGGGCCCTCCCCGAAAATTTTCCTGACAGCCGGAGAGTGTTTTCGGGTACCCCGAAACTGTCTGAAGCGGTTTTCGGGGTAAAATTTAGCTGGATTCTATCGTTACATGATTCTATCGTTACATGACGGCTGAATTAACATGTGTTTGACTTTATTTTGGAACATAGCGCCTGGGAGAAATATTTCAGCAAGGATTTTACCCAAAGCCAAGGAGGCGCCGCTCCTCATCCACCTCTGCAGCAATCGCCTCCACCACACCTGCCACATCATCCATCTCCTCAGACGGGTACACCTCATCACTTGCCACACCCTCGACCTCCTCGTTATCAGAAGGATAATAGGCCTCAGCAATTTCACTACCCACACTGCCCTCGTCATCACTCTCATCAGGCAGAACACAGTCGCCCACCTTGGCAATACGGAGCAGGAGCCCATCCGGGTTCTTTGCAACATACTCCTCAGCAGCTTTAAATCACGAGGGGTTGGCATTTCATATCCACGGTTGGACCGAGTAATCCAACACCCAGAAGGGAATCAATGGACGGGACAGCCAGCCGGTTATGCAGCCTGTTCTTGGTAATGCGGTGGACACTAAAGCCACGCTCAACAGACGCTGTTTGAGTGGGCAGGACAAAAGCGACATAAACCAACTAATCAAGCATGGAAAGAAGTGGGCCCACTGATGCATTCCAGCCCAGGCCCGCTCCCAGGAGGTGCGGCCCAGCTCCAACTGCACGGCCATCTTAGACTTCATAGCTGAAAACTCTTTCTGCAAAACATCAAGTTCGCTGACATCGAAGGCAAGCAGGCGGTTCGAGCTTGCCGAAGCCGCGTATTCCGAGGGAGATGCGGGGCACCTTGGTTGGGCGCTCATCATCAGTTGACTCGGGGATGTTTAATTATGCATATGCTTAGATGTATGATAATGTGACGTATGCATATGCTTAGATGTATGATAATGTGGCGTATGCATATGCTTAGATGTATGAAAATGTGGCGTATGCATATGCTTAGATGTATGAAAATGTCTGCGATACAGCTGCGAAACAGCCGCGATGCACAGTTGTACTTGTTATTTGACTGGTGACAAAGCGGGCCTTATACGGCAAGCCCAGTTTCCAGGCCCCGTCTGCGCCCGAAAACATGCAAATTTACGCTGAAATATCGTTCGGTTTTCTCCGAAAATGCCTTCAAAAGGCTTCGGTGGGGTCCCCGAAAAAATGCTCTAAAAGGCCCCAAATCCGTTAGGAATGCTCCGGGGCGCACTAATTTTCCTTTCGGGCAAAACGGAAATATCTCCAAAATCTTCGGGCCCGAATCGGGGTGAAGAACCCTTGACTGTAAAGCACCATGTATCATCTATCTAAAGTTTACTCTTCTCCGCACCGCCGCCGGTTGCCGAGCTGATGACTGCCTCGGCTGCCGTCGCCTCCAGAGCAGCTGGAGGTGCGCCAGGCACTCGATAGGTGAGAACACCTTTGCGGCTCTGCGTCTGCAAATGCTGCATGGCCTGCAGACCGCTTTCAGTGCTCTGTCCGTGGGGGCACACGTTGGGGATGTGTTCGGAAAGGGATTAACAACATGCTGCTCGATTTCAAATAAAAGCCTAGGCAGCTTTTAGTCGTATAGATCGTCCGTCATCAAATCAATAATCATGTGCTGGTATATGTTGTGTGGGACAGGGGGGCATATCTTCACCTGTGGCCGCTACCCGGCGAAACCCTGCCTTCCCCGGTATTTCGGGGCACTCTAACCTAGTCACCCTAGTCAACATATCAGTGAATCGCTCAGGTTCCACACCCACCGCCCGCATCCAACGGACTCTGCCGGGTCGACAGCGGCCCAACTCCAGTCCTGGACGGCTCGCAGGATATGTATATATATATATACACATATATATGCACGGCAAATGTGCTAAACAGTCTCCACATACATGTGGGTATGTATGCTTAACATACGCGCCTACAAATACATACACATGCGGATAAGGCCACGCACGTACGCACGTCCACGTGCATTCCTGTACACGGGCGCACCTGGCCTGGTCGGAACACGGACTCGAACCAGGCGACAGCCATCGTACGGGCTTCAGAAATGACGTCCTACGCGGTCGACAGAAGCAAAAGTACGTAACGAGGTAATTGGCACTGCAGCCTGGCTGTGAGGCCACTTGGCGACCCGAGGGTTTGGTGACCACATACTGGGTACCTGTCTACCGGGCTTGCGGATGGCAAGAATGGTCATGCGAACGCAGGCGGAACGTTTCAAAAGCACTCACTGTTTGGCGATAGCTGTAAACGCTTAAATTATCCCACAGACACACATATGCCGTGTTCGTACCGCGTTACTGATTTTGAAAGCAAGAGTTCCGCATGCGAGGTTCAAAGGATTGTAGGCGTCCAACCCGGCGAACTGGCACGACCACACCTCCTTATTGATGAATCAGTCCAAGCAAGTACATACATACATACATAACGAACTGGAGACATATATAGCTGGCTATGCACGCATGCACACACCCTAGCAGCATGCATGGGTGCCGGCGTGCTTCGACCCTTGTACCGCAGGTAGGGACTGATAGTACAGCATGTCACCCGTTAGCATTTGTCGTGACAGAACTAATCACTGGTTCATGATAAAATAAAAGGGTTTTTGCATGTGCACCTTTTACCTACATTTTGCCTACGTACGTACCTGCACCATCGAGATGTACCAGCTCTTGTCGGACAAAGTGGCGCTGAAGGCCGTGGCATTGTTGTCGTCCGGGGTGCAGGGACTCTTCAAGCCAGAGCCTGGGACCGAGTAACGGGTGGCGGATGTTACATGCGTTACATGCATGCCGAGAGGCAGCAGCGTAGAAGTTGCGCGGGTGCGTGGGTGCATGCATGCTTAGGTGCATCATGGAAATTCAGTTCCGTACCTAAAGACGGTAATGCTAAGCAGCCGAACCAATGATACGGCTGGGCACATGCAGTACACAGGTATTAAAGTGATGACATACGTAACTACGCACGTACACGTAGTCACACGTACATGAACGTACATCGATACAGACGCACATTGCAGCGCAGAAAACAGGGGAAGCAACTGTTGCAGCGGGTTTTTTCCAAGCCCCGAACGATAGCAACAACTAAATTGGTGAGCAGGAGATGAACTTTAAGGTCTGTCTGCATGTACGAACGCAGGTACATAAGGCTATTCCGTACACTCCACCACTCCGCAGCTAGACAGCTTACCAATAACCGCTGCAGACTTGTCGGAACGGCCATGGCTCGGAATGGGCTTGCGGCTGCAGTCGATGTCCCAGCCAACAAGCTTGGCAATGGCAGACGGGTGAGTGGGACCTCGGGCTTTACGGCTGCAGTCCACCGGATCGATTAGCACTGCGGTAGCCAGATCGCTGCGGGCTACACATACACGTATGTACGTACAAACATGCATACAGACACACACCAGCGCATAGTCAACACACAACCAGGGCGACGTGATAAGGCAAGGCAAGGCAGCTGTGATAAGAGGGCAGATGGTAAGGTAAAGCGAGCTTCTGCCTATTATGCGTTGCCAGCTGCAATTAATAAGTACCCACGAGGCGCATGCTGTGAGTGTTAAAACACCACCACACGACCACCGCACGCCGACCCGACCTACTGGCGTAGTGCAGTGATGCCAGCTTGCCGCCGCGGCTGTGGCCCATCACAGCCTTTCGGGAGAAATCAATTTTGTTCTTGATGGG